AAAAAGAGATTGGAGATAAATCCCAGATTTCCCAACACAGCCACTCTTTATCCTATAAACCGTGATTTTTCTTCTATGTCTCAAACTTCCACATTTGCACTTTTATTAATAAAAATATGAATTAATGAGATCTTTCCCAGACTTTTCTTCTGAACAAGAGAGAGGAAAAGAGTGAATTCTTTCCTGTTGCATGCTTTTTCTTACTTCTCAGTCTCAAACTTCCACATTTCCACTTTTATTAATAAAAATATAAATTAATGAGAATTTTCCCAGCCTTTTCTCCTAAATAAGAGAGAGGAAAACAGAGTGAATTCTTTCCTGTTGTAGGGTTTTTCTTATATCTCAGACTCAAACTTCCACATTTCCACTTTTATTAATAAAAATATGAATTAATGAGAATTTTTATAGCCTTTTCCTCTAAACAAAAGAGAGGGAAAAAGAGCTAATTCCTTCCAGTTGCGGGGTTTTTCTTACATCTCAGTCTCAAACTTCCATATTTGCACTTTTATTAATAAAAATATGAATTAATGAGAATTTTCCCACCCTTTTCCTCTAAACAGAAGAGAGGGAAAAAGAGCTAATTCCTTCCAGTTGCAGGGTTTTTCTTACACCTCAGACTCAAACTTCCACATTTCCACTTTTATTAATAAAAATATAAATTAATGAGAATTTTTATAGCCTTTTCCTCTAAACAAAAGAGAGGGAAAAAGAGCTAATTCCTTCCAGTTGCAGGGTTTTTCTTACACCTCAGTCTCAAACTTCCACATTTCCACTTTGATTAATAAAAATATGAATTAATGAGAATTTTCCCACCCTTTTCTTCTAAACAAGAGAGAGGAAAACAGAGTGAATTGCCCTTCTGATGTCTATTAGCAGAAACAATCCTGAATTAGTTTTAGCAGGTGATTTCATGGCTCCTCTCCAGATAAATTAATATTTTACACTGACTGCAAAGAGCTGAAGATTATTTTGCRCTAAAAGTTATTATCCCAAAGCAAGGGGATGTTAAGGCAGGAGTTTGAGGAGAGAAAGGAAACTCCATTCATGCCTTTTTTTTCCATATTTTCCAGTGAATTTATAATTTTTAATAATAAATAGATTGATAATAATCTTCTGTTTCACTTACCAAGGAAGACACCAGTGCAGAACTGGACACACTGGGGACTTTGTCCACGATGGCCTGTTTCATGTACCTCTCGATGGCTTGTAACATTGTACCCTGAGAAAAAAGGGAAAAAAGGGAAAAAAGGGAAGTGAAGATACTTTGAAGGAAGAGAATAAAAGCAGCATCAGGAAAAAATCCATATTTAAAGGATCCTCAGCAAAAATCTTGAGCTGATTCTGCAAGGCAGACATGGGTTTGAGTTGCCCAGTCCTGAAGGTTCGGTGA